GGGGCAGGGTGGAGACATGGGGTGTGACAGCGGCTCCAGGCCCTGCCCCTTGCCGTGAATGTCACCACCCCGCCCTCCTTCGCCTCTCCCAGTGGCGCTCAGCTGACTTCTGTGCCGCTCAGCTGGGCCGCCATGTGGGAGCAAGTGGCGCAAGCGACCCTTTGGGCTTCATACTTCCCATGCAGCACAGGGAGCGCAGAGCCCAAATGGGCATTTGGGCTCCACGGTCCACCAAATGAGAGTCAGGAGGGGGAGGAGAAGAGAAAGAGAGATGGAGAGAGAAGCAGGAGACGGAGGAAAGCTGGGGGGGGGAAGGCAGTAGGAAGAGGAGAGGGAGAAAGGGGGGGGAGGGAGAGAGAGATGGAGAGAGAGACCTGGAGGCTCAGGAGAGAAGACCGAGATAGAAAGGGAATAGGACATGGAGGAGAGACCTGAAAATCCCATTTTATGACGGGCTAATTGGCTAGTATAGATATATTCAGTGCTTTTTTGTTTAAAAAAAAAAAAAGGGGCCGGTACCCCAGGGGAAAAGTTGTTGAGCAAAAAAAAAAAAAAAGCTGGGGTAGGGCCAGCATTTCCCTTTTAAGAGATGCGGCCCTTTTAAGACATGCAGCCCATCCAACTGTCGGACATTTACGTACAGAGGTGCTGGTACGCTCCGTTCTTTCGAGGTAATCTCTGACTGTATGTCACAAAAAAAAGCACTGGATATATTTAAAATAGGGCTAATCACTCTAGCCAGGATCGGGTAGGTATCATAGAACTCACTATTCAAAGAATTAAAGGCAAGTCTAAGCGAGAAATGAAAATTGTGAAACGCATAGGCCAGTCAGAAATCAAAATAAGAGCATTGCGAAAGAAGTAGCTCAAAGTAATAACAAAAATAATGTAAATATGCGTTGGGAGGGGATTGTGAAAGACAAAGGGGCTGTGCGCGCATGCAACAGCGACACACATAGGCCACAAGCGTCCTACTGTTGACTTTTCCACAAGTCAACAAGGTTCTCTCTACCACAGAGGCACCTGTGCTTATGGGGTTGGTTTCCCCTCTCATTTGCAGCTGGCGGTCAGCATTGGAAATGTCCGGTTCAATGAAATCATGGAGGCCACGCTGCCGGCACAGGGGAATCCGAAGCCTTCGTCGAGCAGTGATATGTGAGTAAGATGCTGGGGAGTGAGATCGAGGGCGGGGGGGATGCATGTCCGGCCTAGACCGCTCGCTCGGGATGGGGACGGGGTCACTGCCTTCCTCTACGGGGGGGGAATCAAAAAATAGCTTCACC